GATAATAATTAATGTTATGAATTGATAGTTATATTTGTGTAACTAAATATCACGTGAACACGTGATCTTGTACTACTGTTTCGCGACTAGTTAATGTGTGTTACAGGTTATAAATATTTACTACAAGTAATTATTAAATTGTTACTATTTGTTACATGAGCTAATATTAAATTCTAAATGTTATTTTTAAGGTTTATTATAAATTATTGCAGGTGTTTTTAATATTATTTTATCATTATATTTTCATTCTGTAACAGCGCTAAAAAAGCTGAAAAGTAATAAATCCCAAAGGTGTAAAGTTGAGGAACACAAAATAAGAAAGTCTGCCTGTGCTCCCTGCTGCTCAAGACACAAATTAGCTTAGTTTGTTTGTATACCATTTACAAATATTCTTGCTTATTTTATATCATCTCAAATCTCTACCTATTTGTTTTCATTCAACTTGGCTTATTTGCAAGTCATCTTGTCTATTTGCAAATCATTCCAAATTTGCCTATTTGCATCAAAGTCTTATCTAATTTCTTCATTCAACCAGTGTATAAAGTTAATTGTAAATTTAGTCAATTAAATCTAGTTAACCATTAAAAATATAATCAAAGTTGAATTATTAACTAAAAACAGAAACTATTGAACTGTAATAAATTCAAGGTTAATTAATCCACATAATTAATAAATTAACTGGTTAATTAAAAAATAAACAGGCAATTAACTGGTTAAAGATCTTTTTGGAGATAGTTTATTATAACAAAAAATAAAGAGAATTGAAAAATGAATATTATCACTTTTGCTACTTAATTACTAATTTCAGAGTATACAACTTGCATTTGTCTATTTTTTTTTTTTTTGATTTTTAAAAAAAAACTATAACTTATATATATATTTTTGTAAATTAGATTAAAATTTCAAATTTCAATAACAAATTCATTTTTTATCTCTGCAACATTATGAATTTGTACTCTATTTTGAAAAAAACTTTCTCAAAGTCCTCTTCTTCTTCAACTTCCATTAATAAAGCTAATTCGTAATATACTGTATATATAATAATCAATAAGTCCAAAACGATAACTTCCATTAAACCTTCTCCAGTGCTAAGAAAAAATCTTGCATTTTTATTTTAACAGTTATATGAAGGATTTCCTATTCTTAAAATTTCAAATTCTTCAGCTTTTTGATGTATAAGATGCCAAAAGTCACTGTTATGTGAAAATGTCCTTTTGAATTAAGATAAAGATAGATTACAACGAATTGTGACTACAAACAAAATATACAAAGTATAAACATGACATGATGGATATATGGGTTTGAGAGAAGATTATTTATCTTACCTTCATCATTAGATAATGGGTAACGTACAACCAGAGGACTTATATCAGTTGTGACAGGAGTATCAACTAGGAGAGGACTATCATTTAGTTAAAGAATTCAAGAGAACTTGGTTTCATGTTTACAAAAACTCGTCTTTTTGACAAAAGTTGATCTGCAAGATCGCTCAAGTGAGATGATTTTTGCGCAACTTGGATGGCCTTCACTTAGGACCCATAATTTCGTTAATGGCATGTTTATTTTTGTAACTTTTAATAAAGATACGTGAAAAATCCATCAAGATGTAAAAAATGATTTACAACAATTTTTTTAAAGATAAACTATTCTTTTTGCGATCAAATAGGAAAAGTTGGTCGTGATGAATGAGCAAAAATTTTTAACACGAGTTTGCGATCACGTTGATAATTTATTTATTTAATCTCGAAATTGCACCATGAATCTTTCTTTCACAAACAAATTAATTGCATCTGCACTAAATTCATCTTTCTTTCACAAAAAAAACTATAGCTTTCTATTTTTTTTTTAATGCAGATTTGCTATCGAGATATCGGGTTTCGGGGGGGGGGGGGGGGGGTGGTTTTCAACTCCATTGTATGTCCGACTCATGGCCTACTACCGTTTTCTATAATTCCTTGATTTTTTTTTGTAAACCTAAATTCATGAAGTAAAGTTTCCTATCTCAATTTTTATCTTTACTCCTTACTATCATGTTGAGATATACGGTAAAAGTGGTCACATAAATAATAAAAATAGGTAATTTTTTTTTGTAAAAGGGATTTTTTTTTTCATTTTGAACAAATCTACCTTTATTATATTAATGTTAATAATTAATAAAATCAATATAGATGAGAAAATGGTTACAAAATTTATTATAAATATTTTTGATCAAATTCTGATTCATCACCTCCAGCATATTTATTGCTCTGCTTAATATGAACATATATATATATATATATAAAGAGAGAGAAAGATAATTTTATCTATGATTGTTCATTGATGTTTTTATGTAAGATTTGTTGTAAAATTGGTTCTGGTTTTTTTTGTATTTATAAAAATTAATTGCTATACTTAAAAAGAGAGAGAGAAAGATTGATGATTTGATCTCTTGGTTATTAATGATAAATTTCAAAATCTCAATTTACTCGTCCAAATGTTTTGACAAATTTCAACATTGGTCCATTGACTTCTATCTGCACTAGATTTAACTTCACTATTACTATTACTACTACTACTACCACCACCACCATCACTACTAATTTCTGTTTCAAAAATTTGATTTATTTCATTATTTCCATTATTTATTCTATTATTTATTACATTATTTATTCCAATATTTCCTACTACGTTACTTCCACCTTGTATAGCCCAAATAACATTTCCCACAAATCCTCTTACCATCTCAACAGTTTCTTCTCCATTTATTCCACCTTCGATATGAATATTTGCTTCAATATGTCGAATGATATGGACTTTTCCTTCTTGAGTTTCACAAAATAATACCCTTTGTTCATCGATCGTACCGGGTTTTAACAAATTAGCGTGTCGAAGTAAATTCAGAATTTGTTCTTTTTCTTGAAAACTTGATACGGGACAAATGAGATAAATTTCGTATGATTTAGAAAGTAAATTAAGTAGGGGAACGACATTTTCGAAAAATGCGTGATTGGGAGTTTCCGGATCCGATGAAGGATTCCAGAGTAAAACCTATTATAATTAAATAGTATTTATAATTAATTAAATCAAATAATAATAATAATCGGATGATGAATAACAAGAATAATAGTATTTTACATTTTTCATTGATATCGACATGGTTTTTTTTTTGGGTAATGATCCTCCTCTAAGTAATCTAGTTGCAATATTTAATTCTCGACTATCTTGATTTCTTATAACACGTCGTTCTGCTCTACGACGATTTTGTTGCTAAAAATATAAATATACACATACCCACAACATTTGAAAAAAAAACTCACATAACTTTGTCTAATACTTTTTTTTAATTATTCAAAAAAAAAAAACTTGAGGTAAAATAATCGTACCCCATCTGTAATATTGTCATTATCGTCGTCTGGATCATGTGGTGGCGGTCGCATTTTACGATAAATAAACACTCCCAAAAAACTTATGGCTGCCACTGCCAAAACTAGGTATGTAATAGGAGTACCCGACTTTCGTCCAACAGTCTTAGGTTCCATAATTCTTTAATTGTTATTATATTATTTTATTATTATTTTATTATTTCGATTTTATTTTATTTTATTATTCGATTTTTCGTGTAAAAATCTGAAGAAATTATATTAATTGATCACATGTGATCAATAAATAAATTTCTCACGGCCAGGTAACACAGGTTACATAATTCGGGAAATTTTTATATAAAATTTGACTCGGGAAAGTGAATTAGATTTACTTTCTTCATTTTTGACTTTTCTTAAAAATTTACTTTTTCTTGAATTTGAGACTTTTATAAAAAAAAGATTTGGATGGCATTCTTAGTTAAACATAACGAAATTCTTAGATCCGTATCGTGGGTTTCCATAAAAGCTACAGACTCTTTTGATTATAGTCACGTTGAGACTTTCCTTGTCAAGTCTTTATTCACTGAGGCATCATATCTCGTGCTTATCACAAATCTTAGATATGTTTGGTTCGAAGAATTGCTTGCCGACGAGATAATAAGACGCTTTCAGGAAAGCATATATTAAAACTTAATTATCATATCATATTTAAAACATATTTTTAAACATATTTTATCTTTGTTGTTACGAGTAGTTAAAATAGTTTGTTAGTTAATAAAGTTTATTTATATCATATATCATATATTATTATTATTATTATTATTATTATTTTAGAGAGTTGAATTTATATTTTTAGATGATAAATTATAATAATAATTAATTAATACAGGAATTGAAAATATCTCTGGATATTGATCGTTTATCAGAATATATTCAATTTTTATCAGAATTTTTACAAAACCGTTCAGATATTAGTCATACGTTCAGTCTACAAGAGGATGATGATACCGTAATTATCTTTCTTTTTTTTTTTTTTTTTTTTAAAAAAAAATAATAATAATAATAAACAAAAAGAAATCATCTATTTTCTATTTATTGTAATCATCCTTTTTCAATGTTTATCGTTAATTACATTATTATATATGTTAGTTGTTACTTGAATCCAAAAGATGTGTAGGCCCAATGGAATTGATATGGAATTTTTCATGCGAATTGATTTCCACCACGTTACCCAAAAAATTATCAAAATTATCAAAAACATCAAATTCATTTGATTCATTATTGAAATCATCATCATCATCATCATATTTATCATCTCTATCATCTTCCTCAATACCATCATCTTCAATAGCAGTGCGAGGAGGATCGAATGAAATATTTCTTGATGGCTCCACAGTTTTATATTTTCATTTTGTTCTTCCACAGTTATTACTTACAACTGCTTATAATCAACAGATTGATACACTTCATGATAATATGAAATCAAAAGAAGAAAAATTTAATGAAACCGTTCGTCTTATGGCTTTAATGCGACCGGAATTGGATAAAAATAATAATAATAATAATGGTAGATTTTTTTATATCAACTCTACTTTCTTACCATATTTTACTAATGTGATGATTACGATAATTTGATAATAAATGAAATTAAAAAATTAAAATTAAAAATTTCCAAGACAACAATTTTTTAACTTTCAAAGCTGAAAATTCGAATCAAGAAATTGAACAGGTAATAAATAATAAATTTTTTATAATTTATTTATTTATTAATTTATTGAATAAAATAATGAAATAATAAAATATAAAAAAAAATTTTTTTTAAGACCATTTTAAACTTTAAAGATTTGGAAAATGGAAAGCCATTTAATATTTGTGAGAATTCAACATATTCACAATTGTTCAAAGTAGCGACGGAACGCGTAATTCCTGAAAGCAGTAATTATTAATTATATTTATTATTATTATTATATTTTAATTAAATCTAATTATTGATATTTATTATTTATTATATACATTTTCAGAAAAAATTTCTACATTACCTACTATCAACACTTTATCCGTCTCTTCTTCAGCTCCATCAATTTCTGAATTAGAAAGAATTTCATTATCACAACTTTCACAATGTCCCACTATAAAATTACCAAGTCTTTCCGCATCTCAACTATCAGAAATGTTTCCTTCCCAAACTTCTCAATATAATTTCATACAAAATTCATCATCCTTTGATTCTTCATCCACTCAAACTATCTCACGTTTCAACAACGACAACGATAATGATACTGAAATGATTTCAGAAGAAGAAAAAGAAAGATTACGAATTGTGAGTTATTTATTATTTATTATATATATTTCTTTTCACATCTTATTTTTCTTGATTTCTCATATTTTATTTTATTTGATTTTTCTTTAAAGGAGGAAGAAGAAAAAGCTCGCGAAGCTCAAAAAAGGCAGCAATTTAAAGAGATGGTTCTAAAACACAAAGAACAAAAGACCATAAAGAAACGTAAAAATGTTATGTAAAAAGATTTGTATTATTGGAATTATATTACAAGTTATATCCGAGATTTTATTCCACATGATTTCTTTACATGTCATAATGTAATCATAATATAAATAATTATATGATCCATGTAATGTTGCTAATATTGATAATAAGAATTATAAAAAATTCCTAATTCAAATAAATATTTATCATTATAGTAATAAAGTGTATCACAATCATTGTTACAAATAACTTATCACGATGAAGATGTAATAATTTATTTATACAGTCAGACATCTCTACAGTCACCCCCTTTATAAGTACATCATATAAAAATTCTCTTTATAATCACCAATTTTAAAACTAGTTATTATGAACATATAGAAAAAACCCCTCTATATAAGCACAACCTCTATATAAGCACATTTTTTTAAAAAAAGGCATTATGATAACGATGGTGTGATTATAGAGATGCCTGACTGTATATATATATATCAATGCCCTTTTTTTTACATATTTTTTTTTTTTTTTTTTACAATTAAACAAGAAAATTTGAATTGAATTAAATTGAATTTAGTAGTAAGAAAATTTAAAACTGAAATATCATTATTGTTATAGTGATTATTATTAGAAAATTGTCATGAGAGCAAAACATACGTATAACATTCCAACAGGATATGCAACTAATATACGTTGTTCAGACATTTGTAATACGGTTACAAACATTGTAGATGAAGAATATGTACACCAACTAATTGCCAAAGCTGAAGCGATAAGTCCAAACGGTCCACTAATAAAAACAATATAATTCCACGTGTGAGAGATGTGAGAGAATGTGTGAGTGAATGTGTGCGAGAGAAATGAGTAAAAATAAAGAATTACCTTAATGGAACCATTACACCGATACAACTAAGTAATACTAATGGTAATAAACAATATCCCAATACACTAGCCGTTCGATAACCATCAACTCCTGATTCACTCATAAGATCTAATATCATATAAATAGAAAACCACCCAAGTAAAGCCACTCCGTAAATATATCCAAAATGAATTTTTCCTGTCTATTATATATAAAATAATCAAATAATAAATAAATTATAATCAAATCTAATAAATTTTAATCAAATAAATTGAAATTGGAAAAAAAAAAATAAAAATGTTAAATTTACCAGTAATAAACAAACCCCGAATATTAAACAAAATAAAAGGGGACCAGCTAAATCTGTGTCATCCATTATATTTTTATCAACACTTTTTAGTGGATTTAAAACTGCTAAACTCTAATTAATCAATATTAATTAATTATATATATCTCTCTCTGTGAATGTATATCCATTTTATGATAATTTATTACCTTTGTCTTTATATGATCGAAATTGATACCAAGTTCTATTTCATAAAATAACAATAATCAATAAATACTTTTCATAAAATAAAATATTTTCATAAGAAGAAGGATTTAATGAAAATGATAATAACGATAAGATTTCTATTTATATACCTTCTAGTAACGGTAGTTCGTCAGCAAATCCCCCTGTACCAAAAGCACTCCAAAAACTTCCCGTACTTCCGTCATGGTGAAATCCGGAAGAAGAAGAATGTGGTGGAGGTGGATAAGATTGAGTTTGTGAAGGGTAATAAGTTTGAGGATTTGATGCATACGTATTAGATGGATCTCCATATGATGTAGTATAAAACTGAAGATTTTCTTGTCCACCATAATCATATACTTCAGATCCTTCGAAAAGGACCGAATGTACTTGACCTTGAGCCATTAATACGGTAGATTTAATTTAATTTGTTTAATAATTAAAGAATAAATTTTCATATATGATAGATGATATATTCTTATATATATATATTATTATATTTGGTTACCATAGTCAGCGTCGATCATTTCCGCCAAGACAAATCCGTTCATATGAATAGGTTTAAACAGTTAGCATTTTTTGATTGGATGATAACAATAAGGAATTTTATTGATAATCTTTATATAAAATTTTTCTTTCTTTGTCGTCATGTTAAATCATATTATTTTTTATCGTAATATTTGTAAATTACCTTCTAATATAAATTATATTAATGCTATAAATTCTAGACATATTATTCGAAATATTTTTCAAAGTCGTGGTATGTTTCTCTTGCCACACACATATATATTTTATTCGAGATTATATATTAATTATAGATTAATTATATTAATTTTGAAGGTATTTCTTATTCTATCCGAATTCAAAAGGAAGAAAGATCATCATCAAATATATTATATATTCAAAATGATCAAGAAGAAAGACCATACATTTCTGAAATTACATCTTCCAGAATAAACCAAATAGAGAAAACAAATCAAACAAGACAAATGAATCAAATAAATCAAGTTAATAATGAATTAGATTTATATATTTTACGTATGCGAGAATATCTTGCCACCAATAACGTTTCAAAAATTACCACCGAATTTATAAATCTCAAAAATAAAAATATTCAACCAAATTTAGAAATTTATCACATTTTACTTAAGGCTTGTGTACTTACAGAAGATTTACCTAGTTCCATAGAAATAATTAAAAAAATGTATGATGATAATAACACAATACCCATCACGGAAACATATAAATTATTTTTGGAAGTAGTGATGGCTTCTTCTCATCATACATTAGCTATGAATATAGTAAAATCTTTGGCGAATGGACAAATTCCAATAATTATTAGTAATAATAATAATAATAATGTTGTGATTGATCATGATATTCAAATTAATTTAGAAATTTGGAAATTAATGTTACAAGCCATAACCACACCATATAAAATATATAGTACAAGAAATTTGGAATATTTTGAAGAAATAAAGAATTTGGCTGAAATGTTTATGGAAAATTATAAGAGACCTTATGATAAAGAAACTTGGAGATTACTTATTCGTGTAAGTTAATTTAAATCCTTTATATATTGTATATAATATTTTGATAATATTTTTATATAATATTTTGTTAATATTTTTATATAATATTTTTATTTATATGATATTTTCATATAGTCATTAGGTTCATATCCAAAAATATCTCCCAATTTTGATTTATTATTAAAAAATTTACAAGAAGAACATTTAATGACTCCAGAATTATATTCAGAAATTATTTGGGCATTATCAAGAAAATCAAATGTTGAAACTGCCATGGTGTATTTAGATCAATTAATATCTGATTATAATTATATACCATCTCGTGAACCTCTTTATGCTCTGACTTCTCATTATGCTAATAAAGGTGAATACAAAAAAACCGAATATTTAATTGAAAAATATGCTAATTTCATTATTGAATATGATAAACAACAACAACAACAACAAATTAGATTTGGAAATTGGGAAATTAATTTTATGACAGTTATTATGCAAGCATATGTTAATGCACTTTATTTAAGGACTTCATCATTTTCTTCATCAACTTCAGTAAATAATGATTATTTAATACCAACATTAGTAACAATGCCAGAAGATAATATTACTTTTTCCAAAGAAAATTTTACCAAGAGTTCATTTTATTTATCATGGAAAAATTTAATAAAAAAAGTTGAAGCAGCAGAAAAAGGAAAACAGCAACAAAATAATAATATATTAAATAATAATAATAATAATAATAATAATAATAATAGTAATAATAATAATAATAAATTATTAAATAATAATGATAATAATAATAATAATAATAATATACTAAATAATAATATATTACATCAAGATCATTATGATTTAATTGTTAGATTTAATATTTTTGCTAATCAAATTAATTCTCAAGAATTTCCTCTTGAAAATTGTTTGGAAATGATAAAATCCATGAGAGGTAAAGGAATGGACCCTAGTTTTGAAACTTATAATATTTTATTAAAAGGATATTCTATATCTCCAGAATTTCAAGGAAATAATGAGGAAAGAGTGAAAAAAGCTTTAGGAATTTTTGATATGATTAAATCTGTAGGTTATGATGTTGATGATTTAGAAGTATTTCAACCATTACTAGATTCATGTTTACAATCATCTAATAGGGAGAACATTAACAAAAATATTAGTAATAATTTTGAAATAACTGGAATTGAAAAAAACAAGAAAAATGAAATAAAAGTAAATGAACAAGTTGAAAATGTATCATTTCTTCATAAATATTCATTACCCAAAATATTTGAAATAGAAAAATTAATGAATAATTTTAAAGTTACTCACAATCAAAAATCCATTATAACAATATTGGAATATTTAGGAGGAACTGGAAATTACATTGGTTTATGGAGAAGATGGACAGAATTGTCATTAATGGGATATAGAAGAAGTGAGCTTTTATATGAAACAGTTTTAAGATTAGCTTCCAGGGATTTAACTGAATCCGAATATGCTATTAATGTAATTAGACATCAAATGAGAAGAGAGTTACCACCAATTAAACCAAATTTTGAAATTTATTCTCAATTATTTAAATGTTGTTTAAAGGTTAAAGATATTTTAACTATTAAAGATTTAATAGAAGAAATTAATAATAATCACTTTGATCGATTTAAATTTAATAAATCTTCATCACAAGAAGGAAAAAATTTACAAGAGATTGAAAAAAGTATCAAAGATGAGAAAGAACAAGAAGTACATCAAACAAAATTATTAAATTTAATATTAAATACATGTTTCAAATTACCTATTTTATATTCGGATGGTGAAAAATTAATAAATAATATTTATCAAAATAGACCAAATTTAATTAATTATGAATTTTGGAAATCATTGTTAACTCATTATACTGATAACACTTTTTTGGATGATTTTAGACTTCAAAATATGTTTGAAAATTTTGTTGATTGGAGAAATAATAAAATATTACCAAATATGTTATTGGAAAATAATAATGAGAAGAGTAATAATAGAGGGATAAGTAGTGAAAAGAGTGAAACTATTAACACTTTGGATGATTATTACATTACTAGTTCACCACTAACAAAGAAAGAAAAGAGAGAACAAATTAATTCAAATATTAAAATTCGAGATTCTAATTTTAGTTTTTCGAATGTTGATGAAATAAAATTTCCCATTCCACCTTTAAATTTAAATGATATTCAAATTATTAATGTCTATACTAAAAATTTAATTAGAAAAGAAAATTTTAATTTAACTAAAGAAATTTTAAATAATATCATTTTACATTTTGGTTTTCCTTTTCCTTCTACTATTAAAAATACTGTAAATAATAATGGTAATGATAATAATATTCCTTTTACTAGTAACATTCTTTCTGTCACACCTACTACTCCAATTACTACTTCAACTACTTCAACTTCAACTTCAACTTCTACTTCTACTACTCCCATTATTAATACCCCTACCACATTTAATACCACATCCAATACTACCCCAAATATTAAATCTTCAGAAAAAATAAAAAAGATAGATAAATTGGATATTAATTTATTCGATATTAATGTTTTAAAAGAATTTGCTTATTTAACTTATAAGAAAAATCAATTTGATGAATTACGTTGGTTAAATGAAAATATTATTAATAAAATTAAATTATCATCATCATCATTTCCTTTTTCTTCTTCTACTTTATCTTCTTCTCCTTCTTCGGCTTTATCATCTTCTATTTCTACTTCTTTGTCATTATCAAGTGAGAAAAATGACTCCGTTAAAGAAATGGATTTCGAAACATTATCAAGTTGGATATCGAAATGTTTATCACCTCATTCTAATCCAATATTTAATAAAAGCAGACCTAAAACACCTCTTTTATTACAGAAATATAAATCAAAACCTTCTCCATATTCACCATCAAAATCATCATCACCATCATCATCAACAAAAACAACAACATTTTCTTCTTCTTCACCTTCATCTTCAGTTTCTCATAATCCCTCCCATCCTCTATTATTAACTTCTGCTAATGCAATGCTTAAAAGTTTACAAAATCTTGCAGATAAACCACCTAAAAAGATAAATAAAAGAGGTAAAGGTGCGAGTTTTGGAAATGATAATAAAAATAAAAAGTAAAAATATATTATTATTTTTTAATAAAAAAAAAGGATAGAATAAATAAAATAAATAGAATAAAGAATTATTTGTATTATTTTTTTTTTAAAAAAAAAAAATTATAAAAAATAAAAAGAATTTGTCATTTGATATAATTTTCCTTACAATTTGTTAAAAATGGTTGATGTTATTTTAATAATAATAATAACAATATTTAACAGTTTTTAATACATTTCTAAAATATATAAATGTTCATAATAATAATAATAATAATAATACACAACAATATATAATAATAATAAACAACAAAAATAATAATGATAATAATAATAATCCATATCCACCCACAGCATAAACCATTTAAAAAAAAAATAACAAATAAAAAAAATAAAATGATGATAATAATAAATAAAATACTATGAAAATAATACTACATATAATGATCTTTGTTATTATTATTTAGACGAATGAGATAATAAATATCATCATTCGGTTTTAGCCCGTTTTGAAGACGGTGGTTGTCCGAATTCTATTTAAATAAATAAACGAATAAATAAATAAATAAGTAAATAATAAATAAGGTATATAATAAAAGTTGTTATGATATATATATGTGATATTAAATAATTATTTATTTATTTTAAACCTTCAGCATCAAAGTTAGCGAGATAATTCTCTAAATCTGCTTCATCTTCCTCCTCTCCTTCTTCTATATCGTCTTCTAAATCTCCTATATCTCCTTCGTCGTCATCGATATCTTCATTATAATGCCTAAAAAATATCATAAAAAAAAAAAAAAAACTTAATTAAAATTTGATTATGTTTATTATTACGTCTACATTCTTTCTATTATTTCTCTCATTTCTATCTCTTCTCTATCTTATAATATAAAAAAAAATAAATAAATTTGTACTAACATCCAAGCGTGGAAATATAAGTCATCCCTAATTACTTTTCCCAATTCCCAAGAAACATCATCGGTGACATTTTCGGTAAGCCACTTGATTAAGCTTGGATCTGTTTCATAATTTTTACGCTTTTTCGTAAAATCCTTTATTATTATTATTATTATTATTATTAAAAATATTAATCAGTTATTATTATATTAAAAATTAAATTGAATATACAGATAGAAGATTTGATCTTGTTATCATACTTTGCCTTCATACCAATTAACTTCAGAAGTTTTTATACATTTTATGCCATTACCATCAACTGAAAATTCCTATCAAGTAATAAGTAATAAATGTTAATGTTAAGAATGCTTTTTTATTTAATTCTTTATAAATGTAATTAATTCTTTATGTAATCAATTCTTTTTTGATTCTTTTATTTTATTTTTTTATGTATGCAATTTTGGATGTAATAATGATTAAAAAAAACCTTAGTAATGTCGGTATTGGTAAAATAAGAATTCTTGGAAAATTTTACGATAATTTTAAAATTTTCCACATTTTCTTCATCTCTTTCAACAATTAACTCTTTGATATTTTGGATAACCTAATGAATAATATAATATTATTAATGATATTATATTTATAAATAATTAATTATTAATGATTATTATTATTATTATTAGCAAAATGAATAATAAAATGATGAGAATTATAACCATTTTTAGATTTTAGATTTTTTGACGAATTTTTACCTCATAATCTTCGTAATCCAAATATTGAGCTGTCAAGAAATAAATAAAATAAAAAATAAAATAATTATATTTGATTTTTATGCGGGGGCAGGTGATGCATCGTAATACATATTTTAAAAACATTAATTATTAACTTACCAATGATACGATGTCTAAGAAACTATCGTAAAAAAAAAATTAAATTAGACTTTTAATTCTGTTATTATAGATAATATTTATTTAAACTTTTTTTTTTTACTCACAACATTAGTCCAAAATTTCGGAATTCTTTCAATAATTTTCCGTCGTTTTTCGCAAATTGGAGCATAAAGTTTAACTTTCTGTCTTGCTTTTTTTTTTATGCAAAAGATATTAAGATACTTAAGATATTTTCACACGATATTTTATTATTCACACCTTAATTAATGACAATAATATAAATTATAATATAATGTAAATGTACCAAGTTCTAATTCCGCTAATTCAAATTCTTTATCTATTGACTTCATCTCATCTAGTATTTCGTCGTTGATAGGTTCAACTTCGCCATTAGCAGCAAGAGTCGAATTACTCGTCATATTGTTCGAAAATTTTTTTATTATTATTATTATAAGGGAATTTTTGATAAAAAAAAAACGAAAATTTAACGACCGATTAACGAATGATGAGAGAAAAATTGATTTAAAACAATAATTAATATATATAAATAAATTAATTAATATATATAAAATAAATAAATGTAAACAACAATTCATTCAATTCATTGTATTCATTGTATCCATTGTTACCATTCATTAAATCTAATGTAAGACAGAAATCACAGAACCAAAAATTCTTTTTCATTATTATTACCATTTTTAGATTTATTAGTCATTTTAAGAATTTATTATATTCTATCGAATTCGAAGATTACAGTAGAAGTAATTCATGAAATTAAATGGAACATATCGTCAGCCACAAATGTATTTCAGGGGGTTTAAATTGTTTGACGCCACGATAGCCTTTCGTTCTTTATTTTTTAAGATAATAAACGGAGTAATAAAAGTAAAAACTACTAAACAGGTATTAATACAGGTTAATCAACAAAACGAATAATATTATTGTCCGGAGCATAAACATGTTCAGATTTTTAATTTCTTTTGTATGTCGCTTTTTTAGTTTTTTAAAAACTTGAATTCATGATAAAAGAAAATGCTGAAACTTTTGAATTTCACCTAACTTTTTTAAATTAAATTTTCAAATTAGATTTTAATATCAAAGTATTGAAAGCCTTATCCCACTTTGTATTATTTAATTCGGTTAACACTGGATTTTCTTACCAAGTCTACAATATGATCTAACAATCTATACTCATTTTTTTCGATAACCAAAACATTTAAACTTTGTATGTCCTGGGATCATAAAAATTTAATTCAAGACTTTCGTAAACCACAAATTACCAAATATAAATAAATAAAACCAAATAGTCGTATTTTTTTTTTTTTTATTTTCACCAGCATTATCTTTAAATTCTTTTCACCTTCGATTTTTTAATTCCATCAAAGGCCTTTTCCTATAATTCCGTCTTTCGTCAAGAACCTAATTAATTTACTAGCGTACTGCTTCATCCTGTACACAAAATAAATGTATTTTACGCAGAACAAGATAATAAATCTTACTTACCTATTGATTAGAATCTTTGCTCACTCATAAAATGTAATGTCAATGCTACAATATTCCACTTTACATTCCGCTATGAAATAATTTGATCGGCATTTTTATTATAATAATTTGGGAAGTTCTTTGTATTTTAAATCATTAGCCACTTCCTCCTTAGAAGCATTGTAATGCAAACTGTTCCGAAAAAATTGACATTTATTTCATAAATATATCACACATAATTTGAATGGGGTGTTAGTTGATGTTTAACTTGAGAAATGCGTCAAGAAAGTCTCGATTGTAGCTATATTAATATATAAACACGTGATATGATATCATTTGTCGACAAATGATTTCAAAATAAGTGTAACAAATTCGGCTAGCACTCATTACCCTTAAGCTGGGCATCAGGAAGATATCTTGTTTTGGTTTGGAAAGGATTCACGTAATTCTGTAATTCTGCAATTTCATTCTTGGATTGATGAGCAACCACATTTACAACCTTTCTTTGATAAATAGATTGCTTTTTTTTCATATTCATTAGAACCATTATATTATTAACTTCAAATTTCATCTTTTATAGATTTTTTTTGAGATTATTAAAAGTATTTCTTCCTTTTGACCTCTATTTTTTATAATTCTTTCTTTTCTTCACGTGAGCATTATCATAAATTTATTTACACCGTAAAATGTAATTTATTTAATAAAAAAAATATTTGTGTATAACTACATTCATTGTTAAAAGAATTAAAAATATTTTTAATTTTGATACGTCCGGAAGATGTTCAGCAGCAAACTTTTTTAGTCATATTCAGCCCTCTAAGTATTTAACCGTTAAATGCTAAATTCTTCTATTATTCAAAAGAACCTACGTAATTTGGGTAAAAGTGCAACTTTTACTAATTGTTATTTCAGATTCCACGTACGTTTACAGAACGCGAAAAAAGATCGATATAATAATCGAAAAGTGTAAAGAGCTTTTGTTGCTAATTATAATCCATTTATCATCTCTATTTCCAAAGCCAAATTATTCAATAAATATAATTCTACAAGTTTGGTACAACTAGCAGACATGTTCCTTCACTTAACATTTGGATATTCCATCTACAAAAAAAAAGTGTGTGCGGATTTGATACTGCCTAAGGAAATAGGATCTAGATAACCATTAGATAATGTAAGGTAATTCTTGAGCAAGTTTCTTTATAACGGAGTCATCAAAATTAAAAGGTTACAGACTATAAAATTGAGATCGTCAGGAATTTCGAAGAATTAAAATTTTATCAATTTTTCTACCAAACAAAATTCCTCCATTCTATATATACGTGTTTAATATTCACACTTTCTAAATTCATATTCTATCTAAAGTTTCGATTTAGTGAGTTTATAAATTTCTCTAATACATACTTCTCTACTTGTAAAGATTCTACTATATCAATTAATAGCTATTCACTTTTGATGATTTTAGCCAATCACATCTATGTCGATCACCTGAGATGTTAATCAAATGGCTACTTTCTCGGAATTTTTGTAGAAATAATGTCTTTATCATTAGAATCATCAGAACAACGAAATTCACAAAATTCGGACTCAATCGACATAAAAAATGCAAAAGTTAAAACCACTCCAACATCTTTATCAATAACAACCCGGACAATTAAGAATGATGATTTTGGGAATTTAGGAATAAATTCCTGGTTAATTCAAGCATTAAAATCAATGTCAATTAAAATACCTACAGAAATTCAAGTAGCATGTATACCCAAAATTCTTGAAGGCAAAGATTGTATAGGTGAAGCAAAGACTGGTAGTGGTAAAACTGCAGCTTTTGCTTTACCAATATTACAAAAATTGTCTGAAGATCCTTTTGGTATTTTTGCTCTCGTGTTAACACCGACAAGGTATGAATTAATGAGTGAATTTTTCATATATTTAAAATTTAAATGTAATTAATAAAATAATTTTTAATTCACTTAATTTATTGTATATACAATATCAATTTCTTCTTCTGCATTACAAAATATATACCAATAAAATATGCATAATATTTATTAGAGAATTAGCATTTCAAATTGCGGATCAATTTAAAGTTCTCGGTAAAGGAATTAATTTAAAAGATTGTGTTATAGTTGGTGGACTTAATATGATGGATCAAGCATTAGAATTATCAAGAAAACCACATATTGTTATTGCAACACCTGGTCGATTAGTTGATCATATAAATAGTAGTGAAATTAAATTAAATTTTAATAGAATAAAATTTTTGGTAAAAATTCACCTCCTTTCTCTCTCTCTCTCTAAACAAATTAAATATTCATTAAATTTTTTTTTTTCAATTCAATATTATCTCTCCAAGGTAATTGATGAAGCAGATCGTCTATTGTCAGATACATTTTCTGAAGATCTTGAAGTAATATTTGATCATATACCTTCAAAAAGACAAACTTTATTATTTACAGCAACAATGACAGAGAATATTTTAGCTTTGCAAGATATTGAAAAAGAACCCGGAAAAAAACCTTTTGTTTATCAGGTAAAATCAAAGTAAGTTAAAATTAACTATTATTATTATTATTATTATTATTATTATTATTATTATTATTATTATTATTATTATTATTATTATTATTATTAT